TGTAGTATATTTATATTTTAATGCCTTATATGTAAATATTTTCACAACTGATAAAACGCGGCTAATCATGGAGGCCTAAATCCACAGGTACTTGGGTCGTGGTTTATAAATATTTATAATGTACCTTATTGATATGTAAAAAAGTACTTTTTTTACTTTTACATATCAATAAGGTACATTATAAATATTTTATATAAACCACGACCCAAGTACCTGTGCCTAAATTAAAGAGAATCGATGATTAAGTCAACTTTTTGTGATCTAATTTTTCTTTCAAAGAAGATAGCATGTTGTGTTCCTGTTTAATATATTTTAGATACACATTTTCTATCTTCAACTGATTGACATGATTACCGTCCCCCCGAGTTCATGCAGTTAGCGGAGTCTGTCATATCATACATAAGTTTAGGAGGGGATGTAATTTTGAACAATGCATGTAAGTAGTGCATGTAAAAATACAATTGCTCTTATTTTCAATTCATCCCTACCTGTTAAATGTTTAGAACTTCGATAAATCTACTGTCACATTTTCTGTTTCCTCCAACTTCGTTTACGTCTGAATATAAATACTGAAACCGGAAGCGATCAAAATCGGCCTCAAAAACCATCGTTTTATATATTTTTCAGGGTGGCCGCATGCAAACAACAGAATGATATTTTGGGATATAATTAATTATGTCATTTTAAACAATCTATTAAATTTTTATTCTGTTGTTTTCGTGCAGCCATATCTAAATCTTGTTTGGAATGTGAGAATTTGACGTAAATTTCTCAATTCCGGAAAAATCACACAACTTCACATACTGATAACTCAGCTAAAAATTAAAGGTTGAAAATTTTATTGCCATTAACATCAAACTGGACATCTCGTTATATGAAAAATAAACCAACTTAACAATAGCACTGGTATAAAAATGTTTAAAAAATATTGGGCAGCTCATATATGCTAACTGCCCCTGATTCTTTAGTGGGGTGGCATTGTAACATGGGGAGGGGGGTATAACGAGGGGACACTTCATGCACTTTCCTGTTCAAATTAAAAACAGTGGGAAAAGTTATAATAGAGATTGAGTGAAGTCCAGCCCATCAGACCCAAGGTGGACAAGAACCATGAACTTCAAAATTTTGTTCCTCTTCACCAAAATTTGTTGAAATTTTACCGAAAGTAACAATTTTCAAATATTAATTCGAGACGCACAATGGACATACACAAAGAAAAACATATAGCTATAACTAGAGCAAAGCTCGTTGCAAAGCAACGAGTAGGTCTTCCGTTCTGTTTGACCAGAAGTACCTTTCATTTTTAGCTCACCTCAACGAATTTTGGGGGAGCTTATGTGATACCCTCGGCGTCGGTGTCGGCGTCCCAGGTTAAAGTTAAGTTTTTTGGGGCAGTTTTCTTTTCAAGTACTTCTGTGTCCTATGTTGATTAGACATGCATGGAAGATGCTTTTAGTGTCTTTCATTGTACCAGTCCAAGATTCATATGCTGCAGTTTAAACAAAGAAATGACCAGATAAATGTTTTTTTGGAGCAGATTAACATTTTTGGTGCAGTTTTTGGTGTAGGTTTCATTTCCAAGTAACTATAAGCCCTATGTCGACCAAACTTGCATGGATGATACATCTAGAGATGCATACTACCAGGCTTGCTTCGGATGCTGAATCTGATCTACATTTTCAAGTTGAGTGAACAGGTTAAAGTTTTTGGTGAAGGTTTCATTTCCAATTAACTATAAGTCTTATGTTGACCAAACTTGCATGGATGTTACATCTAAGGATGCATACTACCAGGCTTGCTTCGGATGCTGAATCTGACCTACATTTTCCAGTTGAGTGAACAGATTAAATTTTTTTGTGCAGGTTTCATTTGCAAGTAACTATAAGTCCTATGTTGACCAAACTTGCATGGATGATACATCTAAGGATGCATACTACTGGGCTTGCTTCAGACGCTGAATCTGACCTACATTTTCTGGTTGAGTGAACAGGTTAAAGTTTTTGGTGCAGGTTTTAATTCCAAGTAACTATAAGCCCTATTTTTACCAAACTTGCATGGATGAGACATCTAAGGATGCACACTACTGGGCTTGCTTCAGATGCTGAATCTGACCTACATTTTCTGGTTGAGTGAACAGGTTAATTTTTTTGTGCAGGTTTCATTTGCAAGTAACTTTAAGCCCTATGTTGACCAAACTTGCAGGGATGATACATCTAAGGATGCACACTACAGGGCTTGCTTCAGATGCTGAATCTGACCTACATTTTTGGTTGAGTGAACAGGTTAAAGTTTTTGGTGCAGGTTTCATTTTCAAGTAACTATGAGTTCTTTAATGACCAAACTTGCATGGATGATACATATTAGGATGCATACTACCAGGCTTGCTTCGGATGCTGAATCTGACCTACTTTTTGTGGATGAGTGAAAATGTTTTTGAAGATGTTTCATTTCCAATTAACTATGAGCCCTATAATGAGCAAACTTGCATGGACAATACATCTTAGGATGCACACTAATGCCGGTAATGGACTTGCTTCGGATGCTGAATTCGACATACATTTTTCAGATAATAGACCAGGTAAAAGTTATGGTTGCAGGTCTATTTCCAAAAAAACTATTAGGCTTATATAAGATTGTATAAACCAAACTTGCACAAATGTTGCATCAAGAGATGAAACTCTCAAATTTGCTTCAGATGCTGGATTTTGATTACATTTTTACGAAGAAGAACTAGATTAAATTTTTTATGTAGGTCTATTTCAAAGTATCGGATCAAAATTGCTTAAATATTTTCATTTTTGGAATGTACACTTTTTGTTGGTTAATTGTGTAACTTTGCCTTACTTACAGACAACATTCGTTGAGGTGAGCTCTGTAATCTCTGATTACCTATGTTTAACAAATATGAGAAATAACGCCCTAAAATGCTTTGAATCCTATAAAGCTATGTTAATTAATGCAAAAATAAGCCATTTTTGCTACTTCTGGTTTGACCGAAAGTGATGACGACGCACGGAAAATTAATTTTTAAGCTCCAAGAGACATATGTTACCCAAAACATGTCAAAAACGGCAAAAATATGTGTTTTCCGACTACTTCCGGTTTGGCCGGAAGTGACGACGCTGGACGTAATTGGACGACTCCATTTGATTAAACTTGACATTTTCAACAACTTTGCTTCTTTGATGTATAACAAATTCTCAATACTTTTTGAGATATCTGGAAAAAACGTTTGGCCCCTCTAGATCCCTTAATTTAGGGGTTAGCCCTTTTTTCCGACATATCTTTTGAAAGATATTCTAATTATGCACAAATTCTGTTCTATATATTTTAACAAAATATTTTTAGTTTAGAAGATGAGATGCAAAATATGAGTAATTTTTAGTTCTTTTAAGCCTTCTAATTTTTAACCCTATATAGCACCATTTTGAATAGAGAAGTCAAAAAACAAAAACCGATGTGCACAACTTCAATCCTTCTATTATCTAAAATCAGCAGAATTTCTGCTCCAGCTTAAGTCGTCTCTGAGCCTTTGTCTGGAAACGAAAGCCTATAAATTTTCGTTTAAAGGGAAATAACTCAAAACCAGAAGTGACTTTTTTGAAATTTTAGTCAGCATTCTGATAGAGTTTATTAACGTCTATAACCTCTGAAAATTTGAGCGAAATCCGTTGAGAAATGCGTGAGATATGAGGCCTCAAAGTTACGGTCTAGGAAGCAGAAGAAAAAAAAGAATAATAATATTTACCAACAGAATCAGTAGAAGGTCTTCCGTTGGAAACGGAAGGCCTTAATTAACATAACTCCAGTGGACTTATAAGTTACGAAATGGTAAAACTCTCAACAAGAGGCCCATGGGTCACATCATTCACCTAAGCACTTTTGCTAGTTCAGTATATGTTACCATATTTCAATGACAAATCACGGGGTTAAAGGTTTTGAAAAAAAATTCCTGTAAGCTTAAACACCCCGTGGGGATCCGGGTTATAATAGGTCCTCAGTACCCCCTTTCTTGTGGTAAAAAGCGACTAAATGGGGAGGTCCTGCGGATGAGACCGTATAAACCGAGGCCCCGTGTCACAGCAGGTGTGGCACGATAAAGATCCCTCCCTGCTCAAAAGCCATAGTGCCAAGCATAGGCCTAAATTTGCAGTCCTTCGTCGGCAATGGTGACGTCTCCATATAAGTGAAATATTCTAAAGAGGGACGTTAAACAGTATATAATCAATCAATCAATCTATTGTGGCCCCCACCATACCCCATGGGGGTCATTATTTGAACAACGTGAATCTACACTACCAAAGGGGGCTTCCATATAACTTGACCAATCATGGCTCTGTTGTTGTTTGAAGATTAAAAAAAAAAAAGATTTTTCCTATGTTTTTGTATGGAAAATTTGATCATAGTTTATTTTGCCCCCTCCCAACCCACAGAGGTCAATATTTGAAAAAAAAAAAACTTAAATCCACACAACCTGTGGATGCTCCTATATGTTTTTAATTTTTCCTGACCCAATGGTTTTGGAAAAAATTGTTTTTAAAATGTAAACTTAAAATGTAATATTTTGATCATCAATCGTGGTCCTACCCTACCCCTGGGGTCATGATTTAAAAAAATTTCATACTACACTACTTGAGGATGCTTCCATGGAAATATAACCAATCATGTCTTGCTATTCTTTAGAATTAAAAGATTTTTCCCATATTATTTCTCTGTAAAACTTTGATCTTCCCATGTGGCCCTGCTCTACTCCTGGGGGTCATGATTTGAATAAATTTGAATTTACACTACCTAAAGATGTGTCCACAAAAGTTTCAACTTTCCTAGCCCAGTGGTTCTTGAGAAAAAGATTTTTAAAACATTCCTCTTAATTAGCACTATTTTTGAATTATCTCCCTGAATTAGGGCATGGTCCTTCAAATGAACAAACTTGAATCCCCTTCACCCTGGTCCAGTTGTTCTTTGAGAAGCTTACAGACAGACGGACACATGGACTACAGACAAAATGTGATCAGAAAAGCTCACTTGAGCTTTCAGCACAGGTGAGCTAAAAATGAAGGACACGGTTGATTATTTTGGTCTAGATGTTTCAAATAAAACACATTCTGTATAATTACAAACCTTTTTCCTTGTGAATTTCTCTGAATAATTTCTCAACATTTCTAACATCATGTTTTTTATGTTCACCAGATGTCAAGATGCACATTATACACAAGGTGACGTCACACGGGATACAGAACTGGGATAACGGACGGCTTGGATGTTTCCTGCATTTGAAATCCTCCACAGGGAGACCTTTTAAAACATGTCAAAAGAGAAAAACTTATAAAACAATATACACAAGATACATAAACATATCTAGCATTTCATCATTGTCATATATAAAAGTTTCCCCATATTTACTGTTAAGTCTCACATTTGAAATCCTCCAGTGGGAGCTCTTTTAACAAGAAAAAAAATATACAGTACACAATATACATAAAGATATATCTAGTATTTTTGAATTATCATTATCATATATTTTCTCAATGTTTCCCTATATTACTCATGGTACTGGTGAGTCTCTCATTTTGATTTTTTACTGTACACTTTAATGTAAATAATTTACTATTTGATTCAAACAGACAAAAAAAATTCTGGGAAGACGATCAATGCAACATGGTTATAACAGGATTAACAGCTGAAGTCAGTGAATATTATTTGTTATATACATGTATGTAAGATGTCACCCCAGTACACCGTGTAGATTTCCCCCACACCTGCTACAGAAATACACAACATTCCTAGACTGAGCTGGTGTTGATATCAAAACTAACAGTTTGTCTTCTGAGAGATTAAATTATTTTTGCTTGAATAAAGTATTGAAAAAAAAACTATATCAATATACTGTTTAGTGAAATAAAATGTCGCCCTCCAAACCCCTAATGCCTCCCTATACCTAATACCTAACACCCGGCCCACACCCCATTAAACAGTTAACTATTTTCTAGATTCCATTTCCTTAGACATGTGTCAGTGACATACAAACACTTTTAAAATAAATATAAAACACACCTTTCCATCCCCCTTCAATTTCCTCAAATTAGGAACCCGAAGCTTTAATATTTATGCATATATACTAATAAAGTTTCATCCACAATCATCATGTCTACCAAAACAGAAGTTAAAATTAATCAGAGTTGTTCAAACAATCAATTACCAGTTAGAATATTTAGCATGTTTAGCATGTGCACTTGATGTAGAAGAGAATTCTTATTTTCATATGTAAAAAAAAAAATATGATAAATTTGATCTGCTACGAATCCGCATTTGTCAAAGACATCAAAGCTTAAAAAAAATATTTTCCTAAACCAAGTATATATTAAAAGAACACTAATTAAATAATAAACATAATATATGAATAATGTTTCTATAGTTTAATACTTTTTATAATTAATGTATCCTCATCATAGAAATATTTCTTGTCTAGTTGTAATCAAACTAAACATGCAATATGTCATCAAACTGAAAACAATCATTGTAATTTAATTCAGTCATGACTTTCCCAGTAATTATTAAATTATCTAACATATTGTGTACATAGAGTATTGTAAAACAATTAAACTAATTAAACATACTGAACTATAACTGTATATTATTACTTACCAGTCAGAGAGTCTGTATGTACCACACTGTATATGTTGACTGTGTTGTGTCTGTAATCCCCTACCCACAGTAGGTGTGTGTCCTCATCATAACTCAGGCCGTATGGTGTGTTTATCCCGTGTTGTGATGTCTTTATCTCTGTCAGATAGTGACCATCACAGTCTAACATCTGTACTGACTGGGTGTCCCAATCACACACCAGGATGTGTGACAGTGCGTCAGTACAGATTCCTTGTGGTGCTAGTCCTGATCCTGATTGAGGACGTCTGTAGGAGAATCGGTAATTACCGTCACGATCTGTCACCACTACAGCACCACGGATAGAGTCAGACACAATAACATCTCCATTGCGGTTCTCTGTGATGTAGTCAGGACTACTATACAGTCCCTGACCTGTGATGTTGTGGTGCTGTATGGTCTGGATGTTTTCTCTTGTGGAGTTATACCGCACTACCTTGCCTGTAAATTTATTATTAGTGCAGTAAGTCATCGCGACCAGCAGGTGTCCAGTGGATGGGGAGCTGTAGACACACTCTGGTCCCCATGGTGCTGTGTTGTTGTACTTTATTATTGTAGTCTTTTCTTTGTTCTCTGTAGACAGTTTATTGATGTTATAATTCCTGTCTATATAAATTAGATCACCGTAAGAATTCACACTGTGTCCTCCCAAAACTCTACCTATATCTGTCAGATGATCTAGTTCTTCACCTCGTGTGTTTGTCAGTATAAGATTGCCATCAAAATCACTGATCCAGACCCGGTCTGATGTAACACGGGAAATGTGAAGACACTCCCTAACACCAGACACGGTGAGAGATTTCTGTAACACTGCTCTATACATTATTGACAGCAGACATCTATTTCTTTATCCTGATGTTTTATAATAGAACAGTGTGGATTTCCTCAGTCAGGGAGATTTCTCTGTAAATTACAACAGTGTTCTAGAATTATTGACATCAAAAACACAGACTCTCTTTACAGTTTTTTTTAAATGTACTTATTTAGATCATTCAATAATTGTCTCTTTAAAACACGAAATACTGTATTTACATTTACTTTATTTATTTGTCTCTAGACTTTTACATATTTTGCTTATTAACAAATTATTCTAATTCTATATATCAAATGATATTTGTCTGTCTTCAAAACTTGCATAATATATTATAATTAGATGTCATGACATGTCGAGACAAGTTCACAAGTAATACAGAATCATGTAATTTCTGTTGGCCCTGAGAACACAATTGTACCTTGTACTTTGTACATATACTGTACGTGGTGCTGATCAACTGATTGACTGAGGAGAGGCCTTTGTACACAGCAATGGACTGGAATCTGGTCTATATAAAAAGATTGCATTATAAGAAAATCTGTTAGATATAAACAGTTCAAGATTAACTGACATCAAATTGATATGAATATATGAATCTGACATGGTATCAATTTTGAATTCATATTTTAAATTGTGTCAATTCAATTACTCACAAATGTGTATAAAAAGATCAATGAAAATCAAGGGAATATTACATAAACTTAATCTTCCTTACTTCAATGAAAAGCCATTTACCGTAAATCTGGAAATTTTTACGTCGATTTTATTTTGCCAATTCGGTTCAAAATGCCGTTGATTTATTAATACGTTTCAAAATTTCGCGAATGACCACTGCTTTGTTTACATGTTCTAATTGGTAATTTATTTTTAAGAAAAATATTTGTACAAATGCAATAAACTCGCAAATTTGCTAAAAATTTATCTACAGCAAAAATTTCCAGGTTTACGGTAAAGCACTTAATACACGAAAACATTAATATAAACAAGAGGTCTCTGTGCCACAATGCTCACCTTTGTCCCCTTGCCCCTCCCTGTTCTTGAAATTTTGAAAATTGAGAATTTACATATTTCAGTAAGCTTACAAGCTGATTTAAGTATTATCTTCAATGGGCAAGTAATTTTTGAGAAGAAAATTTTTTTAAAGATATTTTCTCTACATATTTTGATACCAAATTTTGGGCTTATTTTCCCTCCGGGGATCACGATAAAAACAACATAGAATTATAACTACAAGTACATGTATAACATAAACCTAGTAGTGTATCAGCCTTGATTATAACACATGATTTTGACGTGATTCGACAGCTGTTAGAAGCCAGGGCTGCATTGCCCTGGGCAACATCACTATGTCTTGCCCTGTTACTAAGGGGTTGTTTCGCCCTCAAATTTTAATTATTTCTGTTTAATATGTGTATATGTATGACAGTAAAATATGTATATATGCTTTAAAGAAAGGTATTTTATATACTAAAATTACATCGGAATTTTTGAAAATAAATAAGCAATGCTAATACATAAAAAATAAAGTTTTTGAAATGTGTGACAAATGATGCTGCTCCTGACGTAAGAGAGGTAACATTTGTTAAAATAGAACATATCAACATATTATATTTTGGACACGAAAGGGTTGATTTCTTTATCTGTTTCGGCTGTAAGAATGTTCAAATTTCTTTTTATATGCTATGTTTAAGCATGTATTTAAGTTGAAAGCTTCTGGCCTAGCCTGTAATGACAGGAATCATGCTTGAAACTGAAAGTACGTAGAACTCTCTTAAGTTTGGGACCTTCAAATCTTAATAATCAAATGTGCAACGGTAGGAAAAAAGTTTCAAAAATACAGGGTAATTTCTTCTTAATGGTCAAATTCTTTCTCATCATCGCTATTCTCCATTTGTGATTATTCAGTAACTTTCGTCAAGCATTACGTCTTTACCCCATTTACGAAGATTTAAAACAAAAGTGGATAGCTCTAATAAATAGTAATTTTATTTTCTTGCCACTTAAATACGAACTGAATGTTTTCAATCTTTTTCCAATATATAAGTATGCATTCAAATATCCTAAATTGTCTAGTTTTATTATAATACATGATATAAACAACATACATCATATCGCTGTTTTGATATCTTAACTATATAATGTTGACCCTAGGATTGTCTCAGCTATAAGGGCTTGGGCCGATATCAACCGCTCGGGCTGATATACCAACGGCCGAGATCAAAACATATAAAGCAGTATTATATTCTACATCTACAAAAAATCTGTTAATACTTTTACGCAACATTATCTTGTGTTTTGTTGAAATAAATGAATAAATAATTTTCTCTTAGATTGCCGCGATACGGGATGTCAGGATTAAGAGAAAGTTATAAAGTATGTATTTAAAAAAAAGTGTGTTCAGTAAATTCTTGACACCTAATCCTCGCGCCGATTTTCGTAACAAATTACCGTGATTTTCATAGTTCAGAACATCGCTTAATAAATTTTTCTGTTACGTATAATACATCCGAACTGCGTTTTTCCCCCCAGTTTCAGACTCAAAAAGGGGGGTGCGTATTTTACATCAATGCGTATTATACTCGGCCAAATACGGTAATTCTAAACAAATTTTTAATCTTCCTATTTTAAACTTTGCTCCAATAATGATATTATGATTCCACACCGTCTTAAATATGCTTACTTTCTTTTTAATTATCTCCTCTAGAATTTGGACTTGACCCTCAAACAAATTATAATTAATGCATCACTACCAAAGATTCTTTACGAAGACTTTGGTAAAATTGGCCCAGAAATTGAACGTTCTCCAAAACATAAATAAATAAAAATCTATACAACTGTAAGTTAAAAGTTTACGGACAAACTGTCAGACAGAGGCCGGACAATGATGGTGATCAGAAACGTTCACAAGCTTTCAGATTATAGATGAACCAATAACAAATGTAATAAAGATATATATACCACAGAGACTTTGGTTATGTAGAGTGCACGGAACCCTGTGTCTGTGTCATTAGGATCTGAGAGATAACCAGTCCAACGAAAATGATGCTGCTTTATACCATTCCTGGAACAATCTCCCAAGTCAAAATGAACTGCTTATTTTAGCAGTTTATAAACAGTTATTAGGCAGTCTGGCAATTTTTTGGCAGTTTTTAGGCAGTTCTTAACAGTCTTAGTCTTAGCATTCCTTAAAACTGCTTACAGACTGCTTAAAAACTGCTAAGAATTTGTGTAAGCAGTTCAGTATTGAAGAAACTTAAGCAGTCAAACAAGCAGTTTCTCAAAACTGCTAAAAGTGCAACTAATTCATTTCGACTTTTTATAAGAAGTAATACAACACTTTTTCACTCTTGGTGGTCCTAACTTTCACTAGCCTTCATTACTGCCCATGTGTTACTGTTAATGCTTCCTGATGATAACGTCACAAATAATTGGGGGCCAGGCAGGAGTTCTTACTCAGAAAATAAAATTAAATAGAAAAAAAAATATACTAAAAATCTTACTAGAAATGATACAATAGTTTGTAATAAATTGAGGCTTCATATTATAAAAAGCATGAGCATATGAGCTTCTAATCTTTATCCCATCAACTTGCAAATCCAGCCGTCAGTTACATTAACAACCTGCTGTGTCCCCCTTAGTTGCTTGAAACTATAGGGTTGTATCCAATGAGGAAAGCCAGTCAAGATTTGTGCGCCTTTTCCACATCAGTTCAAAATTACAAATTGTGAAGATGTTTGTGATGGTCTGGGATATTATATATATTTATACCCATACAGTGAAGAAGTAAAATATGCTTTGGAAAATACAATATTATCTGTGATCATCACATTGGACTAGCTGGATGTGAACTTAATATTTATATAGTGACAAGTGTATCTGAATTTATTTCCATGATCGAGATGGGAGATCATTATTATAAAAATCTGATCAAACAATATTGGAACTGGGTGATATAGGAAAATTGCTAAAAGATTTGTTGGCAGTAATTAAAGTATGCTTCAGAAAATATGGTAAGTGTGTGAGCTTGTGATATAATAGGCATACCCTCTTCTCATTTGGATAACTATTAAATTATAAAACGTTTAATCTAGTTTTTATATTTTAATTATAAGTACTAAATATAAATTAAAATATTTGCAAATAAATTTATAAGCTACCATAGAGGGATCCGTAGATTATAGCTTATAAGTCCACTGTATCAATTATAACCAAGCTCTAAAGATGCCACTGACGTTTATGCAAGAAAATGGACTTATTGAAAGGACTCATTTACAATTCATACCTTAGATCTAAATCTCAATACTAAGTCAAATTCCCATATATGATGTCATTTTTTCAATAAATTACCCTGCCGGAAGCAAAAATGCATTTTTTGTATTCATATATCATGTATATGGGTGGTGTTATGTTCTTATAAGTAGACAAGAATAGTGCTTATAGCATTCTTTTTACCAGTTTTTAAGCAGTTAATAAATTTTCAAATTTATATGTAGGTCACTCAGAGTCATTTCCATATAAGTAGAGCAAACAAAAGAAACACCTTAGCATGCCGTTATTAAGCAGTTTTTAAGCAGTTCTCCTTAACCTTCCTATTGACTGCTAAGATACTGCTAAGGAAACTGCTAAGCAACTGCTAAGTTACTGCTAATGAACTGGCTAAGTACTGCTTAAACTGTGGACTGCTAAGGAAAACTGCCTAAGGAGAGAAGAAGGCTAGTAAACTGTCTAAGAACTGCTAAAGCACTGAACTGTTAAGGTTAAAAAACTGCTAAAGAACTGCCTTCCACTTTGACTTGGGCTGTGTTTAAGAAAGACATACTGTCATTATTGCATATAAATCTTAAACATCATCATTAAGTTTTCTACCATTAAATTTAATGTTCCATCACTGGCAAAGCAATCTTTAACTGAGGATCTGTGTTTAAAATCAATTTCCAGAATACATGGATCTAGAAACTTTTAAAAGTTTGGATGAATAGATAATCATATTTTTTAACTTAAGCCAATATAATTAATTTGTACAGTAGTTTCTCAGAAACGAAACCTGTTTTGGGGCCGGAAGTGTGTACCCTTCTAAAGTATTTTCTAATTTTGCAAATTGAGACAAAAAGTGCTATGCTTTTAAAATACTTTAGATTCTGATACACAACATATGTTTTACAACAATGTTTTATCAGCAAAATTTTTATAAAGTATTGATAAATATAATCTTAAAGGTTTATTGATCAATATTAATAGTATGAGTATAAAATAGAAAGCAATCATTATCTGTTTTAAAGAAAAGCTCGAGGGTTAACACATGCTAAAAAATCCCAAATGAAACTTTGCCATATTTTGCCTGAGAAACTAGAATAATTTTTTGGCATAAGTCATATACTAGTTAACATAAAAGGAAAACATGAAACCTGTACATATGGGATGTATTCTTCATCTACACGGATATCCATCACAATTTGTAGAACCTGTCAAAATTAAATCAAACTTATTGACAGACAACTTTTTCATATAATAATAATAATAGGCATCAGATATACAAAATTAAGCTTTTTATTTATTAATCAAGAAATAAAAGAATACACTCATTTATCTTTTTCCAGATTAATTAGAGGTTATGAAACATACATTTTATAATCTGATAATTTTGGTACGAGTTGCATATACTTTCATCCAAT